GGTGGACAAGCAGTCAACTCGGACAGCTGGCCTGCCTCCGCTGCTCCTGGGAGGGAGTCCCGAGTGCGAATTGACCCGCTGCCTTTCGCTTCATTCTTCCAAGAAGGGGACGGATCCCCACTTGTCCTTCTCCATGGAGAGCCCCCTCCCACACTGGAATTTGGGGGTTGGGGGGGCGGGAAAGACAGAACTAGGGGAAGGGGGGAAATTTGGGGGGGGGGGATATGAACCAAAACAGGAAAAAAAAAAAAAGGGCAAATCGCACCGCCCCCAAAGTCTCATCTCCTCCGTTTAATGCACCAACTGGGCCGTCAACCAGTACAAAACTAAGGGCTGGAAGGCAGCGGCGCCTAGTGTGATGTACATCTGCACCCGGCCGGTGGTCCGGCTCAGTCCGTCTTGCACCACGGAAGTCAGGATCTTCATCCGTAAAGAGCGAACCTGGGAGGGCAGACAGACAAACATGGGAAGCATGTTCAAATGGGCGCCTGTCATGCCCCTGTCGGAATCTGATTCGGAGGGGGAGGCCGAGCAGGAAGAAAGTGGGGAAGGGCAAAGTCCGGCTCGGCAGAGCACGGGAGAGGTGGAACAAGGGAGAGGGAGTTCAGAGGAAGACCCAGGCCCACCCCCCTCTTCATCCTACGGCACGCAGGGAGGAACGGAGAAGGGAGCAACGTGGGTTGCATGGCTTACGGGGGAGGAAAGGGCCCTGATTCCCTTCATTAGCCATAGCTGGGAACACAGTGTTTAAAAAGGGAGTCTGCGCACAGCAACTTGTTGGAAGCAAATCGTGAGTTATCTTTTATTGCCGAGGCTTATCTGGGTTCCTGACATCTTCCCAACTGTGTGTGTTTTGTTGGCCTTTCAAGTCTGCAATTCCTTCTCCTGCCCTGTCAAGTTAATTGCTGCAGTGTGGTTTGTGTGGATTTTTATTTACAGTATATATGTACTTCGTTTTCAGACTGTATTTCCTCCACTTAAAGGCTGTTCCTGGGAGAGGTTTTTTTTGTCCAGCCGAAGGTAACTGGACATTGGGGGCAAAGTTGGAGGTATTAAAGGGACTTTTCTTACTTGTGTGACTATGTTGCCTTTGTGCCACGCCCCAGGCCAACGCAGCACCTGGTTCCTCAACTACATCTCTCAGTGCCTGTTTGGCTCTGAGCATGGAATTCCCATGCACCAAAGGGATGAGTTTGTTTTTAACTTTGCTTTTTGTTATTTTTAAATAACTCAAGGTGACCTACCTACCTAATCTTCTTTCCTTCCTTCCTCCTCCTCCTTCCCCTGCACAACAACCCTGTGAGGTGGGTTGGGCTGAGAGAGGGAGAGAGGGACTGGGCCTTAAAGTCAGCCAAAGTCATTTGTATCGCCTTGAACGTGGCCGTACTCACCATGAAATACATAAGAGAACAGGAGGCCCACGCCAGGCTGATGTAGTAACCATTGAGGCCAAACACCAAGCCCCCGACCACAGTGAGGATCATCCTGGAGAGGAAAAACAAAAGATTGTATATATTTCTGTGTGCCATTAACACATCGTAACAAATTGGGCAGGAATTAACATTTAACACCCAAGAGCTAAGAACGAGCAGTTCTTCCAATATTAAATTACAGCAAAGATCTTTATTTACCGGACATCTGATATAACGGACAAATCCCTCTGAAATAACGGACAGTATCCAGTAACTGTCTTAAGGGGTGCTTAATTTTAAATTTTAATTTAATCAAGTTAATTTCTGCCATATTCATGTCCTCCTCCTGTTGAGGTTCTTGGCACAACCTGCCGCTGGGAGGTACTTTGGGGATTTAACGGACTCTCTTTCCTAATTAGTCCATTCAATCAGGAATTTGCTGCCGGTTGGAAACCAGAGTCTAATTCAGGAAACTTGGGTCAGTCGGGGCTTCTGGAAAAATGGAGGCTAATCCGTGAAGCAGGGAAGTCCCTCCCAACTCACCCAACGTATTTGTAGCCGCAGTAAGCCAGAAGATCAAACGTGCCCAAATCACTTTGGACCGTAGCAAGGTAGAGACCCAGGAGAAGGGCAAGAACTTCAATCACCATCCACACGAAGGCCGTGCTGGCACACATCCCAAGGACCTCTGGGGAAAACCTGCCAGAAAAGGGGAAGCCTGAACAATTCATGGTCTGCCTTCCAGCAAACCAGCAGGCGTCCACAAGAGACAACCCACAATATATCTGCGTGTAACAATACGGTTGTGCAAACGCCAACGATATAGCCAAGTCACCAATGGAAAACCTTCCCAGCCTGACAAGCCAAGTAAATGAGGGGGAAGCAGGGGTGGATTTTTTTAGCAAGGGGCTCTCTGCTCTAATGACTGGCTGGGTGGGCATGTCTGTGTGGTCACGTGATTGGGTGGGTGTAGCCAACTCGACATCGCTTCTTTGCCCTAATTACCATACACATACATACAGATACATACACACACACACATTTATTGTTTCGTGCATTTAATTTAATACTTAAATAAAACTCTGGGTGAAAAGGCTTAATAGCAGTGACTATGAGGGAGATCTTGGAATCTTAATGGGGTTTCTGGTGAGTTACATGATTCTTATTATTTGGGAGTTAATCCCCTCGGAGGCTAGTGGCTATGTTATCCCATTTTCTCCATGGCTCTCCCTTGTAAGTGCAGAGTGGATTGTTTATCTAGCTTGCCACATTTTTACCCGGTGTGAAATGCTCTTGGCTGAACGCCCAGAAGTTCAGTTAAGCCTATTAAGAGCTTTCCACGGCTGTTTGTCTTTTTGAAGTTATTGGGGGCTCTCTGAGCCCCTGCAAGCCCCCAGCAGCCGGGCGGGGGGGGGGGGGAAGCCACATCCCCATGGTCACGTGATCCAAATCCAGCCACTCGGCAACTGCTTCATAGTTATGACGGTGTCCCGCGGTCACGAAATCCCCTTCTGCGATCTTCTGACTTCACAACCGTATTACTCACTTAAGAACTGGAGTGATTCCCTTAACCATGTCGGCAAGGAAGGTCATCAAATGGGGTAAAACCCACTTAACAAATGTCTTATTTAACAACAGAAATTTTGGGCTCGATTGTGGTCGTAAGTCAAGGACCACTTGTAATCCATTGCCTGCCAATTTCTATATTATGCCCAGCCTTAAATCCCACACCCAAATTGCCAAATTCACCCCTCTAACCTCCACCGTTTTACCGTAAGATGCAAAATTCGGAAGCGGGAAGAACGTTCCTTACCTTTTCTGTATCCCGAGGGCCATTCCAGCCAGTAAAATATACGTAATGAAGGCCATGCCTGTGGAAGAGAAAATAATAATTTAAAAAGAAAGTCTCCAGATTTTGGAGTGTGAATTTTTTTAAAAAAAATAGAAAAGCTACAATATTATCATTTTTCTTTTAGAGTATGTCTTAGAAGTTACTCTATCAGTTTGATTTCCCAAACACTTTCATTAATTAAAAATACAAAACCAAAGACCTTTATTAGATGGTGCCTTGCGGTATCTTTTTGTCCCATTAAATAAATGAGTCACGATTTTAAAAAATAAATACAATTCCTCCCACCAAACCTGAACTAGCAATTCTATCTTTTGGCAGGTAAATGCCACTTATCCAACAGATTTAATCTGATTCCTAAATTAAACCCATTTTACGCAATTTATCCTTGAGAGAGTTCAGGGCAACCCAACTCAAAATACTGCATGGTATAGCCTTTAAAAAAAGAAACAATAATTCAAAATGTCAAAAAAAATTACTCATGTACTTAAATATATAATACATAAATCTAATAATCATAAAAGCCTAATAAATATCTACATAGCCCGTGACTTACAACTGGTCGCTTAATAACCATTTAGAGTTATGAGGGTCTCAGAATAAATAAAAAAATAAAATCTATATACGTACATAAAAGCGAAATATCCCTCACGCATCATCACAAAATCTCCAGCACCGTAAAGCCTACAAACTTGAAATTTGGCACATGTTCCTCTTGGCTTCTAGGGGCTCACTAAGAAAGGATTTTTCCAAATGACCCTCAGAGCATTTAGAGCATTTCCTATATTATTATTATTATTATTAACACGCTCTGATGCTAAGGAGTTCTATTCCCTCTCCCCACCTGAAAAGAAATCTGTTTCAAATGCAAAACACAAGCAGAGGAGTTTCAGTTTCAGAGCACCAAGCAGCTTTAGTACAGAACAGTTGAGCTAAGCCACGCCCAGGCTCCTTGCTGTCTCCTTGCTCACACAGCAAATACTCTTTCAGTTTCCAAACAGCCCTCAACTCTCTTTCACACTGACAGGACGCTAGCCAGTGAATACCGATGGATGCTGGTAGGCAGAGGCAGAATTTTCCCCCCCTTATTTCCCAAAAACTAAACCCAACCACAAAGCACGGGTACAGAACTAGTAAAATAATAAAATAAAAAAACTCACTAGGAATATAGAGATCGGGAGCGTTGATGTCCTGGCGAGGAGTAAGAGGAATATCGCGATGATAACGAACTTCCCAATTCTACAAAAAGAATAATAATTATTACTATTATTATTTATGCATTTGCATTTCAGTAGTTACTTGCAATCAAGTCCTGCTTGGAAATTCTGGTCTTATAGTTCCTCCCCTTCCCCTCCCAAAATTGTAACTAAAAGATTGTGGATTTTACTTTTATCAAATTTAAAGAGTTTTTTTTTAGTTCAACTTTTCAGCCTGAAGGTCTTCCCTAAAAGGAATCTTTCTTCGGCTATCCGATTAGCTCTCAACAGATTCCTCAAATGTGTTTATCTTCCCGATTTTCTTTTTCCAGTGGCAATGAGTTCCCCAGGTTAACCAAACCAAATGAATCAATACGTATTTGCTGGCTGAATCTGACGAGACTCGAACTCTGCAATAAAGGCAGATGTTCACTTTGATTCCTGACATCCTTCCTATATACACACAGTCCTATGAATCATTCATTTAACAAACATTCGGAATTACAACAGCACTGGAAAAAAACCCGGTCCACGCACTTACGACCACCGCAGCATCCTCACAGTTATGTGATCAAAACTTGGTTGCTTGGCAACCCACATGTCTTTTACAGCATCCAAAGGATCACCATTTGTGGCCTTCCCAGCAGCCAGCTTCCAATAAAAACGATGGAGGAATGACAGCCTTGCTTATCAATGGAAATTCTTATACTCTTTATATTAACAGCAGCCAGAACTGTTTTTGCTCAGAATTGGAAAAGTGATGAGATACCGATAGAGGGAAAAAGTAATTGAGAAAACGTTTGAATGTGCCGAAATGAATAGACTAACACTGGGAATCAAAGAAAAAGAAGAAACAGAATATTATATGGTACAGGATTTATTTTATCAATGGTTGGAAAATAAAACAAATTAAAATGGACCAGATGAATATATAGAGTAATGTTAAGATTGTTTAAAAAAATAGATATATTAAACAATAGCTATAAGAAAATGTGATTATTGTTATATTGGTAAGGAAAGTATTCATTATAATTGTAAGATATACAGTGATGAAATGAAATGGAATTATTGTAAAATATAAAATAAAAAAAATAGATGAATATATAAAGTAATAAGTTGATTGTTTAAAAAAATAATAGACATATTGAATAATAGCTATAAGAAAATGTGATTATTGTTATATTGGTAAGAAAAGTATTCATTATAATTGTAAGATATATGTACCAGTTGACACACGGTTGAAATGAAATGGAATTATTGTAAAATATTAAAAAAAACATTAATTAAAAAACAACAATGGAAATTCTTTTTAAACAACCCACCAAATTCAGACCAAATTGGTACTGCCAAATATTATTTTTTTACCTGGTGCATGTAAGGGAAGATTAATAGACCTAATTTTTTCATCACGTACGTGGTGTCCACCGCAAAGAAGTATTTAAGCTTGTTGATAGAAACAAATCTGTGAATCTGCAAAAAAAAACAAAAAACCAACCAGATTTATTTATGAAAATTACAGGACGTCCATTTCAACTAGGGGATTCAAGTTATCCACATGGAACCAGAATTTGCGGTTTTATTTTTAGACTTTTATTTTATTTTTGCAACGTCTGGGTAATACGTACAAAGCACCAGTTTAAAAAAAAATGCTTAAAAGCGAACGGTGTATTTCAATTGATTTTAAAAAGACAAGTCAACATCCCTGTTTTTCACACCACCTTACGCAGGACCAAAAATATAATCGAAATTGTATAAACACTAAATAAAAACTACATGTCATTTAGTTTTAATGCTACTTATTTTACATACTTTCCAATGGGCTATAACCTATTTTATGACTATTTTACTTGCTCAGTGTTGAATGTTACATGTCTATAGTTTGTAGATGCTTCTGACATGAATAAAGATCCATCCATCCATCCATCCATCATCTATCTATTCATCTATGTCAGTCTATCATCTATTCATCTATCCACCTACCCATCCATCTATCAATTTATCTGTATCTATCTATCCATCCGTCTATTTATCATCTATCTATTCATTTATCTGTCAGTCTATCATCTATTCAACTATCTACCTACTCATCCATCCATCCACCCACCTATCTGTATTTATCATCTATCTATATTATCTATCCATCCATCCGTCAGTCTATCTATCATCTATCCACCTACCCACCCATCTATCATCTATCTATCCATCCATCTATCCATCCATCTATCCCTATCATTCTATGGTCTATGTTTTCTCTGTATTCCATGTATTCTATTATTATTTCTTTTATTATTCCATGTTCTATAAACATCATACAGGAAAGGACCAAAATGAAGGACCAAAGGGAGGTTTGGAAAAGTATATTAGATAAATCTAAAGGAACGTTTTCTAAAATAAAGGATGTTCGGCCACCAACAATTGTGCCCCCCACTCTCTCTCTCACCTATTATTTTTTTTTAAAAAGAGGATTCTCACATTTTTATTCCTTTACCTCTTTATGGACGATGTCTTTGCCCTGGGACGCAATGGAGGAGCCGTAAGCCATGGCGACATTAGCAACCGGGTCGGCAAAAATCTGGTTGAAGCTCATGTCAATTCCAGGCGGGGGGTATCCCGCGTGGGGAGGCCCGTAGCCCGAGCTGGTGTCGTCGAACAGTTGCGGCGCATCTGGAGATTGTGGCACAGGGGGGATCCTGGTCCTGTGTTTGGAGCCTGTTTGGGGGCCCCCGGAAAATTAGGAAGAAGTAGAAAGGAACTGCATAGCCAGCAGCCAACTAATAGGATGCAACCCAGAATTTGCACTCGGTACAGGGCCGAATCTACCTGTTACAGGCAAGTCTTCGACTTTAACGACCGCGACTTCTTAACAGCCCAACATTTCCACCGCTAAGCGAGACAAGTTATTAAGCAACGCGGCTCAGGCAAGAAATTGGTCAAGAGGGTTTCGCCCCGTTTTACGACCTTCCTGGCCACGGACGTTGAGCAAACCCTTGCGGTCGTTCAGTTAGGAAGGCGGTTGTTAAAGAGAACCTGGCTTTCCCTGTTGAATGGGTCGCAAATGGGATCTGAGATCCCAGTCATAAATATGAGTCAGTTGCCAATTTTTGACATGCAACAGTTGTTAAGGATCCCAAGTTGCCTTTTTTTTTTCTCCCCACTGTAACTTCGGTCACTAAAGGAACCGTTGTAAGTCAAGAACTAGCTGTCATAGGGAACAATCAAGGATTCGCACTCCGTCCAGGATTGAACCTGTCTAGTTTACTAAATCTACCCTTTCCGCTTTGAAGTTTATTCATTAGTCAAGGGACTCTGGGTGGCTCACAGTGCAGGAAAAGCACCCACGTTTTAATCTTTATTTCAAAATAAAGAATCTTTATTTAATCTTTATTTCAAAATGTATTTTATTTTTATTTATCCCCCTTCTGCCCCACCCCCCAAGCAACACCCAGCCACAGGGAAAACCCACCCATAAGCGACACCCCTCCAATGTAATTTGGTACCCCCACCCCGGATGGGATCCCCCCGGATTTCCCCCCAAAAAAATTTGCAAACCCTCCCCCCCCCCCCCCAAAAAATTGGGGTGGATTCATTGGTTCAAGTGGGCGGGGTGCTTGGAGTCAAATCAATTTTTTAAAAAAATGCACCCCGGAGGGGGCCGGCTGGCTCCCTCTTTGGCCAGCCGGATTTGGGGATCCAGAAGGATCTGGGGATCCACTGGATCCCCACTGGAATGGACGGGCCTGGATTGGAAGGCTCCCTTTCCTAAAGCAACAGGCGGGAAGGGGGAGTTAATGCTGGATCTCCTCCCGGGCTAAGAGCCCCCGCTCCCCCACTGTGACCACCCCCCACTCGATCCCCACTGGGATCCACCCGGCCTGCTCCCCGTTTCCCTTACCTACCTGGACCCCCATATCCAGGGGGATAAGCCATGGCGCCCCTCTTTGAATCGCTTCCCACGATCCACTCGCCCCGCGTGGGGGGAAGAAAAAAAAAAGGCCCTTAAATAAAATAATAATTTAAATTTTTTTAAAAAACAACAACCCAGAGCAGCAAAGTTGCGAAGAGCTCAAAGAAGAAAAAGGGTCCTCGAGCCACGTCCTCAAAGGCGCCGGCGCGGCCCAAGCGGCCGCTCCCATTGGCTGACCCGCTGTATCCTTTCGCAGCCGCCGCCGCGCTGATTGGCGGGCCATGTATCCATTTCGCCCCCGCGGAGGTTCCAAAGGGGCGGAGTCCTGCTCGCGGGCGTTCTTGAGCTTGCAGGCCCCTCGGGCGCACGCGCAGAAAGGGTTGGAAACGACGTTGGGAAAGGCTTTTCCCCGCCCCCCCGCCCCCCCAACCCCGGGAGCTTGATGAATGGCAGGCGAGGCAGGGGATGATGGGAGTTGTGGTCTAGCTAGGAGAGCGACAGGTAGGAAAGGGGCGGCGGGATGCGCAAAGGTGTGTCGTTGGGTTCAAGGAAGTCGGCCGTGGTTATTTTTTTTTTAAATAATTACGGAGCCTCGCTCTGATTGGCTGAGACGCAAGTCCAGGGAATATGGCCGATCCCGAGCGGTGCTGGGAGTTGTAGTTCAGCAAGGCCATAATGCACTAAGCCTTGTTCTTTTAAAGACCAGGTATCTCCAAACTTGGCAACTTTAAGAGCCGTGGACTTCAACTCCCAGAATTCCCCAGCCAGCCATGGCTGGTTGGGGAATTCTGGGAGTCCACGAGTCTTAAAGCTACCAAGTTTGGAATCATCATCATCTTTTAAGGACCCCCATAATCCCTTGCAATCAGATCATACTAGGAAACAGTCAATATACATAGTAAGGATACAA